CGGAAGCGGGGGGCGGGGCTTCGTCATGTGCCCCGCCCCCCGTACCTCACCCAGGGGAACTGCGATCCCCCCCGAAATGACCTCTGTGTCTTCCACAGATGAGCTGTCCGTGAAGCTGAAGCCCCTGGGGGAGAAGGAGCGGGCCACCATCCTGGACCTGAAGCAGAAGGAGTGTGAGAAGCGGGGCCTCCCTTTCGACGGCCGCATCAATGCCTGGGACATGCGGTACTACATGAACCAAGTGGAGGAGACCCAGTACAGCGTGGACCAGAACCTGCTGAAGGAGTACTTCCCCATGCAGGTGGTGACGGACGGCCTGCTGGAGATCTACCAGGAGCTGCTGGGTCTCACCTTCCACTTGGAGGAGAACGCCCCCGTGTGGCACGAAGACGTCCGCCTCTACGCAGTCAAAGATGTCACCTCTGGAGAGACCATTGGCAAGTTCTACCTGGATCTTTATCCGCGGTGAGTCAGGTGACAAACCGGAGCGAGGGCTGGGAATACCCGAGTGGAGGAGGTAGGGACTGTGAGGCTCTCGAAGCCAGCTCGCACCTTGTAGGCTCCACTTTAGAAGAAGCATTCCCTCAGGTGTCCAACAAATGGAGGAATGCATCTTCTATGGCTGCCTTCTTAGAAGAGGCATTCCTTGCCTCTTGTGAGAGAAGGTGGGATGCCTCTTCTGTTAGAGGCTGGCACCCTTCTGCTGGATCAGACCAGTGGTCCATCTAGTCCAGCACCCCTGTCTCATGCAGTGGCCTCGGAGGACCAAAAACAGAACACGGAGGCCGAGGCCTTCCCCTGATGCTGCCTTCTGGCACTGGGATTCAGAGGCTGACTGCCTCTGAACATGGAGGTTCCCTTTAGTCACCATGGCCAGTAGCCACTGATAGACCTATCCTCCACGAATCTTATCTGATCTCCTTTTAAAGCTCTCTATGCCTGATGGTGGTTTTCTCACTTGTGAAACTTCCTAACTGCATAAGCAGCATGATGCAGTGGTTAGAGTTTCTGGTCCCTGCTGGAGAGACTGTAGTTCAAATCGTGGGTGACGTTAGGCTGACCACTCTTTGACCATCCCTCGTGGTGTTCTTGTGGGCGGGGCAGGAGAACCACATCCAGCTTGAGGTATGAGTGGGACAAGAATAAGGATGACATTTGTGTTTGCATGTTTTTAGTGACCAATGATTACCATTTTGTTTTGGTTTGGCTGCTCTCGTCTTCTCTTCTTTCCTGCTAGGCCTGTAGCCAGGATTTTATAGCTTGTGGGGCATATATTTTTTTCTTGTGGGGCAGCCATTATGTAAGTAAAATATTATGTAAAATAGTTCAGTTTATCCCAGTTACATCAGTTGTACAGGAAGCAGCATATTCAGAATTATAAAAGGTACCGCGCCTTTTAAAAAAATGATAAAAAACGAATTAAAATAACTTTTTCAGAGGGAAATCTTGTGGGACTGGCTCTTTAAGGAAGGGGGTGGAGCCCTGAATAGCCGCACTGTCGCTTGCCCCGGGATCTTTTTTTTAATAGAGTCAGTCTTTGTTGCTGAATTTCTCATGTAGTTTGTTTCCATCTTAATTCCCATGTGGGTTTTTCCTGGGTTTAGAGGACTTTTATAATATATATTATTTTGGGGGGGTATTTGTGTCTGTGTGTGTGCCCATGCTTGCATGCCTGGAAGTCGTGATGACTTCTGGCGACCCCTAGTGGGGCTAGGGTGTTTTCCCGAGAGATGGTTTGATATTGCCTGCCTCTGTGTCCCGGCCCTGGTATTCCCCGGAGGCCTCCTTTCCAAATTCACCTAAGGAAATGATTGCTACCATCCTCAGAGACCATCTTGTCTGCATGGAGCACTTTATCTGTTTGTTGTGATCTAATGGTTTTACTGTTTTATATTGTGTTATGTATGGGCTTATGCCCCTGTGTAAGCCGCCCTGAGCCCGTTCGCGGGGAGGGCGGGGTAAAAATGCAAATGAATAAATAATAATAAATAAGTTCTTGCCAGGATCGCCCCCCGCTTATCTTCCGAGATCTGACAAGATCGGTCTTGCCTGGGCTATCCAGGACAGGGCTGAGGAATTTCATAACTTGATGGGAGCTGTCTCCAAAGCTCTGGATAGGAGGTGAATAGGAATACGCCTGGGTTGGGTGTCTTCAAAGTGGGCCCGGGGGATACCTAGGATGCGGAAGCCGGCACTGGGTAGTTAATGTGTTTCTGTCTCCCTCCTGGACCAGTGAAGGGAAGTACGGCCACGCCGCTTGCTTTGGGCTGCAGCCTGGCTGCCTGCTGGCCGATTCGAGCCGCCAGATATCCGTGGCAGCCATGGTGGCCAACTTCACCAAGCCGACGCCGGATGCTCCTTCCCTGCTGCAGCACGACGAGGTGGAGACGTATTTCCATGAGTTCGGACATGTCATGCACCAGCTGTGTTCGCAGGTAGGAGTCAAGGGAGAGAGACCCCCATCTAGTGAGCAGAGGGTTGGGAGAGCGACCTCCGGCTTGGCTGGTGTTTTTGCTTTAATTTACTTCTGAGTGGCTGCTCTTCCTGTGACGTCACCTCTGCAGTGTTTTTATCTGCTGGTTTTCTTGATTGATATAATTCTACCTGGTAGACCCTTAAGGGTGTAAGGTTGGCTCCTGATGCTCTATTAGGGTTACCAAGTACCTACCGCGAATCGGCGGGGGACACATGCTTTCCCGCCGGAACATTCCTGCCTATAACACACCCATGTCACACTATGCTGTCGCCCAGACGTGACGCCAGCACGCTGGGCACGTCGCCGGGCGACACTCTGACAATGAGGCTGAAAACTCAATGGTACCATCAAGTTTTCAGCCCCATTGCTAGAGCGTCACCCGGCTACGTGCCTACGTCATGTCTGGGCGACAGTATAGTGCAGTGTGTGTGTTTTCCCCGCGGGAATGTTCCCGCCGAGAACTATGTGTCCCCCGCCGATTCGCGGTAGGTTCTTGGTAACCCTATGCCCTATTCTGTACCACTCATATTAACAGATTTGATATTGGGCAGTACACAGGGCAGGGGGGTTTCAGCCGTGCTCCCCCTCCCAGGACCACATTTCCTGCTCCAGGAGGTCTGTCGGATACCCCTCGTTGGCCGTCTGAAATGTATGCCTTTATTTCAAAAGCTGTCCCTATTTCAAAGCTTCTGTTGCCAGCTGCTGATGTTGTGACTCCCACCCCAGCCTCCAGGCAATTAATTAACATCAAATCACAGTAATGATTATGAGCCTTCGGGTATTTGTCATTAGAACTTTGGTTATCACGGCCTCTCTTGAAGCCAAGGAAATGTCATAATTATTCATTCGTTATTTATTGCACAAAACAGGTCTGTAAATTATCCCACATTTCAGCAATGAGGGTTGCCAGGTCCTCTCTGGCTACTGGTGAGGAGTGGAGGAGTGGGGTCGCCAGCTCCAGGTTGGGAAACTCCTGGAGAATTGGGGGCGGAGACTGGAGAGGACAGGGACTTCAGTGGGGTACAATGCCTCAGAGTCCACCCTCCAAAGCATCCATGTTCTCCGGGGGAACTGATCTCCACAGTCTGGGGATGAGCTGTAATTCCGGAGATCCTCGGGTCCCACCTGGAGGCTGGCATCCATACCGCAATCCATTCTCAATGCAGCTTACAACAAGAAAATTAAATACAGCAACGTACAAGGAGAGTTTTTAAAACGCAGAGAGAGATCACAGTAAAATGCCAGCCATCTAAAGCAAACCTTTAGAAGCCACAGCAGATAGAACGGGAAGCCACGACAAACTCAGTTCCAGCCTCCAAGAGAACCCAATTCAGTAGGCCATGTCAAGTCCCCCAATTATGAATCCAACCCCACCGCCTTCTAGAAAGTACAGGGTTACCGTGTTTTCCCAGGAAGGAGATGCAATTGCCATCTCTGGCACCAGGCGGATGTTGCAGAGCTGCTCAGTGGCCAAGCAAACCCTGGAAACTCTGATGCAAACTTGAGCATGGGCTCAGTAGGGCTGCGAGTTCTGTAGGACTCTTCTGAAGGCTGGATAATAATAAATGGAGAAGGAGGAGACAGAGATGGTGGAAGTTACAAGGCATGATGGGAAAGTCTCCGCCTGCGGTTTATAATAGTTTTAAGAAGAGGGATGTCCCCTCCTGCTCTGTCTTCAGACCTTTGCTAACTGCAGGCTTGCAATCAGGGGTCGTTTCATAGAAAAAGAGCTAGGGGAACTCATTAGCATAACTCATTAGCATATGCCACACCCCCTGACATCAGGGGCCCGGCGGTGGACCTGCAAGGCCGGCGGGAGTGCGAGGAAGCCCCACCAAGGCCCTCCCTGGCTCCAGGCAGGCAGGGGTGGGGAGAGGCGGGGAGGAAGCAACTTACCCTCTCTCTTCTCCTGCCTCCTCCTGGCTGAATGAGGGCCGGAAGTGGGGCGGCTGGAAGCAGGGGGCGAGGCTTCGTCATGTGCCCCGCCCCCCCGCACCTCACTCGGGGGAACTGTGTTCTCCCGCGATCCCCCCCGAAATGACCTCTGCTTGACACTATTAATCACGGCTGTCAAAAATATTTCTCCCCCTGCCCCATACACGTTCTTGTTATTTTGACAAATCCTGAAAGAAAAGATTATTGCCAGTGCAGTCGTAAGTGGAGTTAACTCTTCTAAGCCCACTGACTGCAATTTACCCAAAGGGGCATACCTCTGGAAGTCTGGTGTTCATCCTCACAAAAGACATCTTCTAGGTCCTGAGTTCCCTGCAAGGAGCTGCTAGGATTCTCTGCTTGTCCTCCTGTCCCTGCACCACTAGTTCTTCTAAACTCTCCTGTCTTTTCTCCCCTCCCTAGGCTGACTTCGCTATGTTCAGTGGGACCCACGTGGAGCGGGACTTTGTAGAGGCTCCATCCCAGATGCTGGAGAACTGGGTGTGGGAAAGGGAACCGCTGATGCGCATGTCCAAGCACTACAAGACGGGCAAACCCATCCCTGACGAACTTCTGCAGAAGCTCATTAAGTCTCGCCAGGCCAATACCGGTGCGTAGTGGTTAAGAGTGTGGACTGTAATCTGGGAGAACCGGGTTTGATTCCCCACTTCTCCACATGCAGCTGCTGGTGTGACCTTGGGTCAGTCATAAGAGCAGCTTACAATCTCCTTTCCCTTCTCCTCCCCACAACAGACACCCTGTGAGGTAGGTGGGGCTCAGAGAGCCCTTTCGCGAACTGTTCTTTCGAGAACAGCTCCGAGAGAACTTGTGACTGACCCAAGGTCACACCAGCAAGCTGCATGTGAAGGGGTGGGGAATCAAACCCAGTTCTCCCAGATTAGAGTCCGTGCTCCTAGCCACTACACCAAATTGACCTCCAAAATGTGCTCTCATTAGCAGCCTTGCTTTGCTCCTGCAAACTGAAGGCTGTGGCCTTTTCTGGACACTAATATACCTATGGAATCAACTGTGGTGGGCGACTGTGGGCCAGTCATGCCCTCTTGGGCTAACCTACCTCCCAGGGTTGTTGTGAGGGTAAAATGGAGGACAGGAGAATGATGTAAGCCAGTTTGGTTCCCCATTGGAGAAGAAAAGTTGGGGGGAGTATACATGAAATAAAAATAAATCCCTGTTCCTGTTCTCTTCTCCCTCCCCCAGGGCTCTTCAACTTGCGGCAGATCGTTCTGGCTAAAGTGGACCAGGCCTTGCACACGCAAACGAAAGCCGACCCTGTAAAGGAGTACTCCCAGCTGTGCAATGAGATACTGGGCGTCCCTGCAACACCAGGTGACAGGCAGGGGTGCATGCTGGAGGTGGGAAAGGTGGTGGTTTGGGGATTGTCCAGTGTTCTTGTCTTCCTGGTCCAATTTCTCCCAGGTAGACACACGCATGCATATTGATTTGCAATGTTTCTGTATGCTGTTTTCCGGCCATAGTTTTGGTAGGTTACTTTTCTTAAAGTTGCTTCTCAAGGATGATGCAATAATATCAACTCAGTTAAAACAGCCATTAATTTAAAAATGCTACGGGCAGTTGCAAATTAAGAAAGCAGGTTTGGGGGTTTGTTTGGTTTTAAATCTGCACAGCATGAGAGCTACTAAAAAAAAGGCACAAGGGAATAGACAAGATTTCGCCTCTGAAGGGTGGGGGGGGGATGTTTGCCAGATGGATCTCCAGGGACAGAGAATTCCACATCTTAGAGAGACATCACTCAAAGGGCCCTGCTTCTTGTCATCCAAACTTCCTGGCTGATGGCAGTGGAAGAAGCTTAATGGCAAAACAGAAGGACATAGCTCAGCAGACAAGAGCATGCTATGCTTGTAGGAAGTCCCAGGTTAATGGTGTCAGGTATTGGAAAAAGGCCTTTTTCCGCTTGAGACTCTGGAAAGCTGATGCCAGTCAGACTACAGAGGCTATGCTGGGCTAGTTGTACCAAGGGGCCAACCAGTTTCACATGTTCTCGAGCAAAAAATCTACAGTTGTGCCCTTTTTTCTGCCATAGTTTACTGGCCAAGCAGAAGCATTACAGGCACATTGGTGTAGGCCAGGGGTGGCCAAACTGTGGCTCGGGAGTCACATGCGGCTCTTTCACACATATTGTGTGGTTCTCGGTGTGGCCTTCTGTCACTTCCGGTGATGTCAGGGGGCGTGGCATATGCAAATAAGTTATGCTAATGAGTTATGCTAATGAGCTCCGGCAGCTCTTTTTCTACAACAAGACCCCTGCTACAGAGGCTACGCTGGGCTAGTTGTACCAAGGAGCCAACCAGTTTCCCATGTTCTCGAGCAAAAAATCTACAGTTGTGCCCTTTTTTCTGCCATAGTTTACTGGCCAAGCAGAAGCATTACAGGCACATTGGTGTAGGCCAGGGGTGGCCAAACTGTGGCTCGGGAGTCACATGCGGCTCTTTCACACATATTGTGTGGTTCTCGGCAGGTCAGCTGGAGAAGTGAAGGGGAGGCATGCCTCTCCAATCAGTTTTCCATTCCCCAGCCAGCCCCCCCCCCCGCCACCACACTGCCACACCAGCCAGCTGACTTGGCTCAGAGAAGGCATTTGTCTCTTTAAACCCCTTTGCCAAGCCAAGCCAGCCAGCATGGGGGTGCGGGGGCTTGGAGGACACATTTAAAGTCACTTTCTTTCCACCTCTCCCTCCCCCATCTATTTGCTTCCTTCTTTTCCTTCCTTTCCTTCCGGCTTTATTTCTTTCTCTCTCTCTTTCTCCCCTCCCTCCTCATCTAAAGTTAAATGTGTTCTCTAAGCTCCGCCACCACACTGCCACACCAGCCAGCTGACTTGGCTCAGAGAAGGCATTTGTCTCTTTAAAACCCTTCTCCAAGCCAAGCCGGTGCGGCAGCAGGGTCAGGGGGCTTGGAGAACACATTTAAAATTAAAGGCATTCTCCAAGCCCCCGTCCAGCAGCCCTGACCACCAGCTTGGAGAAGGCATTTGTCTCTTTAAATCCCTTTGCCAAGCCAAGCCAGCCAGCATGGGGGTGCGGGGGCTTGGAGGACACATTTAAAGTCACTTTCTTTCCACCTCTCTCTCTCTTTCTCTGTCTCATTACAGTTCATTCATTCTTTCCACCTATCTCTTTCTCTCTCTCTTAGACAAATAAATATCATTAGCAAACAAATAAATATAATCAATATCTGTTTTTTACCCCTTTTGTTTTTATTTTTGGCAGTCTTATTTAATGTTAATAAGAAGCAAATTTGCGTATTTTTCAATAAAAACGTGTGTGTAATATTTGTTGATGTCTTGTGGCTCTCAAACATCTGATGTTTATTCCGTGTGTCTCTTACGTTAAGCAAGTTTGGCCACCTCTGGTGTAGGCTCAGTCCCTGATCACCAGAGAGATCGCTGCAAAAGACTGCTCTGGTCTGGGATCTCAGAGAGTCTGCACCCGTCAGAGCAGATGACACAGAACTAAGGGCCTAGCTTGGGAGAAGACAGCCTCAGATCGCATTTCTTGTCTCTAGCCCGCCCCTGTCCCCCTATCCCTGGCTAATGGCAACCCAGCAGACTGGAACCACTGCAGGTTAGGAGAGAGAAGGACTTGGCCCTGAAGAGCATCTTCTTCTCCTAGTCTCCAAGGAAGAGCTCATTGGATCCAGCTGTCTTGAGGCCCACAGGGATTCTGAAGTCTTTCTTCAAATTAACCTCTGCTCATCTTGCCCTCTGCTTGCTATCTATTGCCCTCATGTTGTCCTCTCTGCTGGCATTAACCTCTGCTCATATTGCCCTTTACCAGGTACAAACATGCCAGCCACATTTGGCCACTTGGCAGGAGGCTATGATGCCCAGTACTATGGCTACCTCTGGAGCGAGGTGTACTCCATGGACATGTACTACACACGCTTCAAGCAAGAGGGGATCATGAACTGTAAGGTACGGGAGCCCAAAGCCACACAAGGTCCGGCTGATGGGGTGGTGCCGGGTGGAGGAGCATACTAATCAGTGTCTGGATTGGCCAGCAAACCAAAACCAGGAAGCCTGACTTGAAGCAGGTTTGCTAACTGTGGTAGGTTGCGGCGCTTTGAACCAGAACCCTGTACCCCTCTGGCCATCTCTGCAGCTCCAG